ATTTGTGCAATTGTCGAGGCTCAAGTTCGTTCCTATGAAATCGAACGTCTCTCTTGCACATCGCATATACATACACGGTTCCCGTTGATTGTGTGAGTGCACGGATACAGCGCACGGGCCACGGAGTCTCCCACCTTAATCCAGTGTTTATAGGCCACATTTCAGTCGGAAACGGTATTTCAGCGAGACTGTATTCCGAACCCTAATTTGAAGACTACATGTAACGTCCTCTGTTTATGGACAGCGTTCAATTTCAAAACTATTCTAAGATGTGTTGAAATCTGGAAAGATGTGTGCCGTGCTTGTATCTGTGACTCAGTATGACTTGTTTAGAGCGTGAAACTGGAGGCAGGTATCATAACGCGGCGTTTTAGCTTGTGGCTATTTGATTCTATTACGTTAAATATGTTACACTTATTATAAGCACAAACATTTATAAGTAATTCATAACATATTTGAAATTATATAACATCTTTAATTGTAAGAAAAATGTACAGAACATAATTTCACTAAGGTTAAAAAACTAAGAACAAAAACTTATATGAACATACTAATAATTATAGATTATAACGCATTCAAGTGTATTGCGCTTTAATAATTTCACGATACACCTTTAACAAGTTTGAGGAACACTAGTGTTAAGAAGCACTGACATATACTCTATATGTATATTCTTCATATTCTGTATACTACTTTGTTCTGTATATTTTGTAAAATTTTGAATACTCTAACGTATCCACCAAGCGTTACAAACAGGACTATATGAGCGTGACAGAAACGGGGGACTTAGGAATGAGCACCTAACGAAGCTCTGTCCGCGCCCACTCAAACCCGAGTACTCCGCACATATGGGACCGGCTTACCCAACAGTCCCAAAAGGGACGATGTCAGTTACAAAAACACCACGATCTTGGAATGATGTAGGTCAGCGACGGATCTTGGGGCGCTTGGTACACGCTGCATCGTACCGTCGTACGTCCGAGAGAGAGGGTACCAACCCTAGGGAGGGGTGCATTTCACTAAGTAACCCAGAACGCGGGTGATGGTCCCTGGTGCAACTGACATTCACCCTGAAGATTCGTCCTCTTGAGGGGAATTTCGGCGAAGTCCGGTGGGCCTCCATTCCACGTTGCGTTCCTTGCATTTTCCGTGGGTGGGGGATAATAGGCAGACTAGGCCGGTAGGGTGGGGGGTGGACAACGTACAAGACAGAATAGGGGAGACATAAACCTTAGATATTAGAGGGCGCGATCTACTCTACTGGTCTTTCGCTATCTTAAACTTACACCTAGCTGTAGCGAGACTAAATTCAATGAAATGGTAATGAATTTATGAATTAATTTATGGTTCATTACGCATTCCAGGGATGCGATTGTCCGAACCAGGTCACATCTCTACTAGAGGCCGGCTAGCATGACCTCTCCATCTACCTATATGGACCACTGTTGATCCGTCCTTATCCTGTGGGAACGGCGGTGGTAGCTTGAAAAAGGGTAAACAGAGGAGGGGGTTCATGAATTAATCAGGACATAGGTAGGTAAAGTCATGATACGGGGTTAAAATAGGCGATCTAGCTCTCTCTCGCTTGTAGGAGGTACAACGATGAAAGCCCCATTTATACAGGCTCGGACTGTGGGTGAAGACAAGAGTGAGCTGGTACTCACCTTAGGAGACGACGTCCGACTCTATAGCTTAAAATTTAGGTAGGGATGGAACGATCCTAATGACTCTCCGCCCTCTGACAAGTACACTCAAGCCCTCCAAATGGCCCGGGCCTAATAAAGTTGGGACGGATGGAAAACTTCGGGGTTAAGATACCCCGGGTAACGCCACCCCTAAACCCTTTGGTCTTTGTGTAGGCCAGACAGTTCAACAGCCAGGCTCGTGGCCTTCGAGGAGGTACCCAAACTCCTACTCCCAGGAGACTAACAAGTAGTAAGTTGTAAGTTCCACTATACAGGGTATAACAAAAATATTGTAGGACCCGGTAATGGGAGAATCGTGAGGTGATTTGAAACAAGTTTTTCCTTAGCAAACATGTTATCCGAGGCGTTGTTAACGAGATATTTACAAAAAACCCCGACCAATCAGAGCGCGAGTCTGCCGAACAAATTCCCGCGGTAACGTTGGCTATGCGAAACGATTGGTAGAATCTATAGGCGGGATTCATAGTCGCTGCTTATTCTTAATCAAATGCTTAAGAATAAGTAGTGACTATGAATCCTGGCCTATGAGTGAAATAAAATCAAATGAATGAAACCAACACGTGAAACAATTGAAATGCGCGCCTGTCAAGTAGAATAACCCGTCGCGCTAGATATATTTTACGCGTGTTTCGCTCGTATTTTCAAGAATTAATAAATCGAAAACAGAGCATTGAATGCGATTTCGTCATTCTTAATTTTTTTTCTTATTTCGAGCCGTACTATCTCCCTGACCTCATTTGTACCACGAATTTTGATTTCCCCTTCCTGTATAGCTGGTGCTGGTGTTCTATGACGGAACACAATAATACGTAATAATTTCAGACAAGATAATCTGTAAAATTTGCGATGCATTTTTACATATAGAAAGTTTGTGTGAACTATAATACATAATTACAAAATTTTAGCTACATTCGTTGTCACAAGAATATTTGGAGTACTGAATTGTACTTCTTGCATTTTTGTATTTTTTCGTAATGTACTCTTAATTTGTAGTACTTTTAATAAAATGGTTTCGTTTGTCTCAATAACGACAATCTTCGGAGTTTCTAAACCATGAAATTACAAAACTATGATTTCATTCGTATCTTGTTCTTTTCTCGTAAGTACTTATAAAATTGTGAGCTTTTCAAGCAAATAATTGTTCGGAATTCTAAAAACAGAGGTAATATTTCTAGGATCATTAGATCTATTAAAAGTATATTTACAAAACCTTAATTAATCATTTAAATAAATAGTTATCCATGTCAACGTAAAACTGAAATAAATATATTAGGTGTATATGAATGTAATAGTGTCGTTTTTTGTCCAACATTTGTGTTCATATTACAAAATTAGGATCAAGCAAATAGCATCTGTTAGTCGAAATAATTCCCTTCATTTTCTACAACTTTTTGTCATTTTTCTTGCTAAAGTGGAATTCCTCCGTCACTAAAATAAAGTAAATCCACAATACCAATTTAAACGCGGCGGCTATTACTTTCACATACACCTAATATCTGGCAGGGACGGTTTGAGGATTAAGAAAGAGTTAAGAAAGTAACAAACAATGATGTAAGTAAGTAAACAAGTAAAGTTAATAATTTCAGCGAGATTGAAGTATTGTTCGACACAACCAAACAGCAAATATTACAGGTAATGAAACAGTAAATTCGACGGATCAAACACAAGGGGCCCGTAAAAAAAATAAAGTGTCAAACTGTTAGGTTATTACATTTGAAGTGGCGGATTTCACAAGTTGGGAAATTTGATTAGTAAATCAAGCTTTTACTAATACAAGTCACTGTTTGTAGGTTGAAATAAAACATAGGCACTATAATTTAAAGTGCAATATTTTTTCCAATTCAATTGGTTTAATATTGTTTAAAATCAATTAAAATACACAATGGAGTGAATTTGGCTAACTTCTTTACATATTCTTCTGCTTACTTTAAGTTAAATTATTAAATTGAAGTTTCTAATGAGAATATATTAGTTAAAAGCATTTTTGAAAAATCAGTTTTGAATTCAAAGGATCACTTAAACACATTGGGTTTCTTATAAGAATGTCATGAACACAATTGACACTTTATTGGAAAAAAGGATTAATTCTCTTAGAATTTATCACAACTGAAATAATATGTTACCAAAAAATTCGCCACATCAGGTGTAACAATCTATTAACTACTTCTTTCGATTTCTAACGAAAGTTTTATTTTAATGCTCAATAGTACACACATAAAACAATGTCTTCTCTATTTTGTATAATCTTGTCTCTTGTACTTAATCATTCTGAATGAGAAACTAAAGGACAGTAAAGAAATTTAGTGATAAGGAAACGATAAGAGTAGCATTTAATTATTTTTGTTGGTATTGAGTGTAACGTCTAGAGGTTCGTCAACATTTTGTGGAGGACTAAGTTCTTGTTGAGGCAATTGGTGAAACAAAGTTGAGATCGGTGTGTTTCGAGGTGGACCCTTCACAGTCAGATCCATTTCAGCCTCTTGAGGTCTATCTCTGACAGTTAAGTTTGCATCTTTTTCTACCGGACTAGCACATATCCTTGGCGGTGAACCGCAACCACATTTCATTCTGTCCGGAGACTTTTCACAGGACAATGAATATCTGAAACATGAATTTCACTTTTTATTATCTCTTAGGATAAATATTTTGGGGATTTTGTAAACATATATTTAAGAATATTTAATGTCGATTATAAAATACATTTCATTAATCTATTAGCAACTTTCCAGATTTTATAGTAGCTGAATGATAATTTGGGGGCAATAAATTCAATGTTTCTATTGAAGTTTCAAAGAATGTCACTAATTGTTAAAATTTTCTGTGATAATACGGTAAGTGCATTTACATACACAGTTCTTATCTAGCATTGTTTTAGCGGATTTTAATAGTATTTCTATTTACATGGATTTGTCGATTTGTACTGAAGCATCAATGTTTGAACTGACTTCAATTTGTTGTATTATAGAGAGTGTATCGAAGCATGTGGACACAAATGTAACAATGAACAATAAAAATGGTGAAAATAAACTTTATATAAATGTGTGTTATGTATTACTCCAGATCCAAATTACAAGCTAGAGGTTTTGTGTTTTAGAAAATCTCTATAGTTCACATTTTTCAGAGCAACTACAGACGTTAGCAATCTGCACCCACAGTCTGAGTTTCTAAACATTTTTTCGTTAACTTTGTAATGCGTTTGAAAGTTTCAGTTGTCCTGATTTATTGGTACAGTAATATTTCCTTGAGTACGACGTACTCGGGTATATACCTTTCGTAGGATTCATGGCAAGATGGAAAGGTTTCCAGCCCAACATAAATTTTTTTTCTGTCCGAAGCCTCTGCTTAGCTTTTGTTTACTCTGTTTTGATTGGTTTCAGAGGGAGACTCCTCCATTGGTGGGAATAACGCCGTGCTTGTGCCGCACACATTGAAGAATCACTGTTATTAAAGTACAACAATGCATCTAGGTTGCAAACCAGGTAAACCAAAATACACATTTATATGAATGTTTCTCATTATTTATATGTGTACAATTTATTCTTTAAGTTACATGCCCAGGTTTTGATGCAACGCGTATATCATCAGTTTCACTAGGAAAAATTCTTCTTCCTCGGGTGGACATACAGTGGACTCTAATATTGTCACTAAACATATTGCAACGCGAGGCAGTTCCCCTTCACACGTACTTTCGAGTACACAAATTCGCTCTCTCACCACGTTGCGTATGCTGGCGCTCCAGCACGATCCAGCTTTTGCGCAGGCGCTGGGGCCGAGGTTAGGACGATAGAAGTTAGCATGGAGGGTCCTCTGAACTCAGTGTCAGTTTATTCCTCTTCAGCTTCGACCATGGCAATACAGTGAGAGCCCACTGTATGTATGTATTTTGTTACGTACGGATGCCGACCGTATCCAAAAATAAAGACAAAATTTAGTGGGTTTATTGTATCTTAAGAGGACAAATCCCAGAGTGAGTGCATGCACGTTTTGTCTTACAAGGGGAGTGTTCTGTCGGGACGAATATAAAATACAAACTTTGACCGTGATTGGGACGCATTGGCTTCACTGTGCGATGTGTCAAGAACCTCACAGATAATCAACCGTGAAGCTGTCGTCCGAGTTAGCGGTGTGTGTGTTGCATGCATGAGTGCCGTGTTTTGATACGACAGCTGACCGATAATTTGGCACGGTACAATAGGCCCATAGCCCCTTATTTTTTTTAAAAAATCCGCGTTTTATCGGCAGTTGGCAAGGACAAGCGAGTATGAAGAGAGAGGGAGAGGGAGTGTCGATTTAAAATCTTCCGGCGAATAACCTCTGGGACAAGTCGATTCTTCTAAAGCAGCCCAGTTCCGAACACCGAACAATAAAGACCAGAAGCAAGCTGAGTCTTGTAATCGTATATTTTATCATTTCTATCCTTGGTCTCCGCAGAGATTCCACTACAAACAATATCTTCTTAGAAGATATAAGAGTACACGCACCAACTCATTATTATTGTTGAGTATTGCGCGTGTACAACAGGGAGGCTCAGATAGTTGTGTCACCGAATCGAACGAAATTTGGCAAATATATAGTACTTGATTCCTACAATAAAATGTGCAAGCCATTTGACGTATTATTCAAACGTTTTCGAGAAATCGGTGTTTAAAGTTATGGCGTGCGGAATATGACGCTTTGAAGAAGCATATCTCCCACAAGCCGCCGTAGCGTACTTAATGCGGTAATAGCCTACAGATCCTAGATCCATGGCTTCGATTCTCGGTTGCTGCATTTCTTTTTTAACTTTTTTCTCTTCTTTTTTTGTTTTATTTTTAAATACATCTATAACTGTTGAACAACAAGAATTAATTTTTACTGTACTTTTCATTTTTTTGTTAAATTTTACAATGAAATTGGTAATTCTTATACTTTTTAATTTTTCTCTCTTTCTACTGCGCATTTATTGATACCACTTATACAGGGTGTCCCAAAAATGTCCTCCGACCCGGAAATGGGGGACTCGAGGGGTGAATTGGAACAAGTTTTTCCTTAGCAACAATGTAAACTGAGGCTTCGTTACCGAGATATTAACGAAAAACCGCGACCAATCAGAGCGCGAGTTTGCCAGCCGAGTTCCCGCGCTAGCGGTGGCTACGCGCTACGCTTGTACTACGACACTCCGAACAAGTAGGTCACCATGCATCGCAGGAACCCGCGTATAATAATAGCAACTAAACAAGACGTAACAAATAAAATCATACTTTATATCATCTGTCGTTTGTTATTTAAAGAGATCAATGAATGAAACGTAAATGTAGGCAAATTATGTGTCACGTAAAAAGACGAATGCACATTTACATTTTTGTAAATTCCTTTTTACAAATTTGTAAATTTCCTTTTCAAATAACGTGTGAACGAAAAGGTAATGTAACAGAAAATAAACGAGAAGTGATTGTAGTTCGGTGAAATTAATAAAACAATAATGACCAATAAACTGAATAGAAGTCACCCTTACGGAAATTCACCTGCAGCGTAGAAACCTGCGTCAGTAGGTCACTGAACCGATCCTGGTCATCGACGGACGAAATGGTTTATGGCAGGGTAGAGTCCATGCCACTGGTGATCGCAGGTATGCGACACCAGCCGACGTTAAGAGTTGCAACGTCAAGTGCCGCCGGGTTAATCCATCGAATATGTATTCACTTCACTGCACTGCACTAACACTGATCACCCGACACAATCACTTAATGTATTTTTAATCCAACGTGTTGTTACTACGTTAGGAAAATTCGTATCCCCGGAAAGGGCCGATTGGTTTCAATTTTTCAGATGTTTTACGTAACCAAACACTTGCACACCAACACCCGCATATCCGTTATTGTGTACGTACCACCATAAGATTCCGTAATACTCCCGTGAACTGAACATCTCTGTCGCCCGATTGCTAACCGACTGACAGAATTTTTCCGAAAGGGCTTCCTCTACCCCCAAGTAGTTTCCCATCGTTACATTGTGAGTTCACTCTCACCACGACAAGATTTAGGTAAAACGAAACCAACGGTTCTAGGATAACACGTGCTTTGCAGAAGTGCAAGGGAAGAACCGTCGCGCAGTTTCTCCAAGGCGCCGTAGCCCGTTAATTTATTGCCAGGGTACCCACTGCTTCGAGATAGAAAACAGACGTCACGTGCATCGGCTTGAAAATGTCCGAAATGAAGAGGCCCTGGCCGACCACCCTTGTAGAGGCCGGAGTGGAATTTTCGGTTCTTTATGGCTCAATTTCTTCGGCCTTTTTTTTTTTAGTATTCCGTCAAATATCTCGGAATTTATTAGAAATATAAAAACCGTACAATTTGCAATATTGTGTTTGTTTTGATATTGAATGTAGCTATATCATTGAATTCCAGAATAATCCCTTTCTTTAAACAATCTTTCGACGACTCCTAACAGAGCGCGCTGCAGGTAAATCCAAGAAAAATACTACCGTGTTCGTTGAACTCTTTTCCGTAAATCATTGACACTTTGATATAGCTTTTAATCTCATTGAAATAGTCTGGAGCGTTAGCGATACCATCAGTCGACTGTAATAGTGGAGGGCCCGATTCTTTTACCTGAACCGGGGCGCACCGCTGTCTTCAATGGGTTACTATTACGTTAATATGAACCGCATCACCCTACCGATAGGCTTATTTTACGGAAAAGAATTTAACGAATACGGTTTTTATATTTCTAATAATTTCCGAGATATTTGACGGAATACTAAAAAAAAAAATACGTATGAAATGTTTTCATGAAAACTATAATTTCACAAAGTTGTAATAAAATTGTCGATTGTCAATTCTGTTGTGAGTTCACGGTTGCAACGAGGCCGATGATTTTAAGCCATAAATAACCGAAAATTCCACTCCGGCCTATACAAGGGTGGTCGTCCAGGACGAAGCAGCGTCAACTGACACGTGTCGGTCAATTTTTTTCCCTGCTCCTCGAGATAGACAATGTACAATGTACTTTTCAACTCGAAGGAAGGGATACGTTGATGGTCCTCTTCATTTCGGACATTTTTAAGCCGATGCACGTGATGTCTGTTTTCTATCTCGAAGGAGTAGGTACCCTGGCAATAAATTAACGGGCTACGGCGCCTTGGAGAAACTGCGCGACGGCCCTTTCCCTCCACTCCTGCAAAGCACATGTTATCCTAGAACCGTTGGTTTCTTTCTCCCTAAATCTTGTCGTGGTGGGAGTGAACTCACAATGTAACGATGGGAAACTACTTGGGGGTAGAGGAGAAATTCTGTCAGTCGCTTACCAATCGGGCGACAGAGATGTTCAGTGCACGGGAGTATTACGCAATGTTATGGTGGTACGTACACAATAACGGATATGCGGGTGTTGCTGTGCAAGTGTTTGGTTACGTAAAACATCTGAAAAATTGAAAACAATCTGCCCTTTCTGGGGCCACGAATTTTCCGAACGTAGTAACAACACGTTGGATTAAAAATACATTAAGTGATTGTGTCGGGTGATCAGTGTTAGTGGTCGTGCAGTGTAGTGAGTACGTATTCTATGGAATAACCAGGACGCACTTGACGTTACAACCCTCAACTTCGGCTGGTGAGATATAC